AGAGAGAGAGAGAGAGAGAGAGAGAGAGAGAGAGAGAGAGAGAGAGACAGGGACAGAGAGAGTCTCAAACACCCTGAGCACACCCGCCCCTGGTCCCCAGCGCTCTCGGCTGACAGAACCCTCTCTCACCCCACGGATGTCCCAGTAACCCAGCGTCATAGGCATGGTGCTGGTGCTGTTTGGCTTAAGCGGAGCTAGATAAACTGTAACTGTGCTCCGGCGCCCAAGGACAGAAGCAGAGGGACTGGTAGTAAATCCAGTCCTCCTTGGCCCCGCCTCCTTCCCGTCCGCCCCTCCCCTGATAGGGTAGGCTCTCGCCCAGGTCTTCCGTCAGCTTCCAACCCTGAACCACTCCGCCCAGAAGACGGAGACCAATCTAAGTAGCCTTGGCTGCATGGCCCCGGGAGTAAAGTTTGGATCCGACCCCTAAAGCTTGTTGGGTGGCTCTGCATGCCCCGTCCCTGCCTGCCGGCGCAGATGGTGCCTCCTCCTTCTCCCCCATCCCCCGAAGATGTCAGTGCCTTTAGAGAGAGGCCAGATGTTGGAAATGCAACGATCCCTCCTTCGTTCCCCGCTTCTTATCACTCAGCCTGTTGCTAGCCTAAAACAGGACACCCCCAAGGAAGAGTTTAGTCCTATTGTTGGAAAGGCAGGAAGGATCCTGGCCAATTTGGAAAAAAAAAAAATGGTGCTTACAGGAACAATAAAACGGACCTATCGAAGGACAAAGAGCAGACAGTATCGAGTGGTTTCGGTGTTTATTATTTGGCTGTGTTTGCGACTCTGGACACTGAGGGCACTGCGAACCTGAGAGACAACCCCACCCACGGCCACCCCCAGCTCCCCGGAGGGCAGTAGGCTGCCATGGCTTCACCCTACCACCAAGAAGGGCTGGAAGTACAGAGCTCACAGCTGGAGCATGCTAGGGTGTGAAAGTATGTGTTCCAAGGGAACAGACACCTCTCCTGCTCCCAACAGACAAGAGGATGCTGTCAAGAGTGGATCTTTAAAGAACTGTACAGGACACAGGGGACCCAGAACCAGATCTTCAGCTGTCAGGGTTGCCAACACCCATCTATGTCTGGGCATGATAGGGAGAATCAAGTAGCTTTCAAACCACCCTTCAATGTGGGCCTTGTGGTACAACCTCCGAGAGGACAATGTCCTATGGAGAATACTGTCCTACCTGCCAGCCTACTTCCTCCAAGGCAAGGCTGCTTCAAAATCAAGAGGTGTGTGATTCATTGAGCTTTGCCCCTATTGAAGGAAATGGCAAGATACAAGGAAGAATGGGAAACAGGTGACCCAGACCCCGCAAATGAAAGGCTGCTGCAATGCGGAAAGGGTATTTGGAGAATTAACACCGGTTAGGACGTCAGCGTGAGGTGTAAAGTGGGCCTGGGTCAGGCTGAAGCTATCTCAGCGCTAAGGACAGAGGAACAGCCTACTCGGTGGATCTTTGCGAAGCTTGAAGCTCTGACACCATTTCATGGCGCTAGCGCGATTGATTAGCAGAATGCCACTAGCGTGGCAAATGCTGCTTATGTCTAGACACAGCCAGTCCTCCAAATTCAGGTCTCTAAAATGCACCTGAGTTACAGGAGGAGGATAATGCCTCAAAGTAAATTCTCACATAGCTTTCCCCAGACCAGCCATCAGCGCGTGTACACACGTATATGCATGAGTCTCTGAACCATTGTTAAGGATAATTCGGGACAGAGAATTTTTTTGTCAACCTGACAAAAGCTAGAGTTGTCTGAGAAGGGGGAACCACAACTGAGAAAACACCTCCATGAAATTGGCCAATAGGCAAGGCTGTGGGCAGTCTTGATTCATGATTGATGGGGGAGGCCCTGGGGCTGGTGGACTTGGGTGCTAGGAAGCAGCACTCCCCCACAGCCTCTGTGTCAACTCCTGCCTCCAAGTTCCTGTCCTGTTTGAGTCCCTGCCCTGACTTCACTCAGTGAGGGGACTGTAGCGTGGAAATGTAAGCTAAAATGTAAACCCTTTCCTCACGGAGCTGCTTCCCGGAGTCATGGTGTTTCATCACAGCAATAGAAACCCTAAGTAAGACAGGCCATATAGGAGCAGGGAAATATGAAATTTCTGGCTCTAGCTGAGAAAATAATTCTTAAGAAAAACTTTCATACAAATTAAAATGATAATCTTAAAAATATAAGACAAAGATCTGGAGAGATGGCTCAGTAGTTAAGAGTACTTGCTGCCCTTAGAGGTTCAATTCTCAGCACCTACATGGAGGCTCACAACCATCTGTAATTACAGTTCCGGGTGATCTGCAATACTCTCTTCTGACAGGCAAAACACCCATAATCCTAAAATAAATTTAAAATATGTTGAACAAATCCTGGAACATTACTGTTTATCCACCTGGCCTTTCCTTACTGTATTAAAAAAAAAAAAAAAGTAGTTGTCAGCATCTTTCCAGAGACTGGGTCCCATGCATAGCATTGTTCTTCTGTAGACCAGCGATTCAGGAAACACGGGGCACAGTATCCTGTTTCCATACTCTCTGAAGAACGGAGAGGAAGGCAGGGGCAGCAGGAGAGGAGAAGCCAGGCTGGCCAGGACAAGGTCTCTAAAGAGCTGAGAAAGGGGACTTAGACCCTTCTGGGGAGAGAGCTATGCTGAAGGAAGGGAAGGTTTGGGCTGGCCAGGCTCTCAAAGCAGTGTTCCCAAATACCATCACCCCCCTGAATGACCCTATACTCTGAAAAGTAATAGGAGGCGGTTAGACCAGGGACCCAGAGAACAGGTCTGAAACAAGAGGTCATAGTCAATAGTGAGCTCACAGGAATTCATCCGCAGTTGCCAGCCCCTGTGGATCTCCATGTGTTTGGTGCACAGTGTGGACATGGCTAGTTGTTCAGAGAGACTCACAGGACCATCTTTTTTTTTTTTTTTTCTGGGTAGAATGTGTCTAGGACCTATAGAGTGACCTTGGGACTGGACGTCCTAGTTCCTTCTAGATCCATAGCTAAATATTCTAACATTCTCAAGGCAAACTCACAGAAATTTCAAATAAATTAGGTCATAATTTAAGGTTTTAACATACAAATTGTTAGATATAAATAATGACAACATGAACATGTCTCCTCTGGAAATTCCTTTCCTGTCTTTGAAATATCATTTATTTAAACTTAGAAAATCAAAAACACAAAACAACGTTTTCTTAAATCTAAAAGCAAAAGTATAAATCTCATCTCTAAGATGCTGTCAAATTGAAATTCAGTAAAAGAAATTCCCCACATGCTTCAGATATTTTATGTGTCTGAGCATTTTGCTCCTGTGAATGCCTGTACTCACGTGTATGAAGTGCCCGCAGAGGCCAGAAGAGGGCCACAGATCCTTTGGGACTGAAGTTACAAATGACTGTGCACCAATATGTGGATGCTGGGAACTGAACCCAGATGGTCTAGAAGAGCAGCTAGTGCTCCTAATAGCTGAACCACCCCTCCGGCCACAAAACAAGAAACTCTTACCAATACACTTCTTAAAGGCATAGCTGAGTTTCTAAAAACATAAGCTAAATCAAGAAAGCATTAGTCTAACAACCTAATCACACAATTTTAGAAACGGTCATTTGGCCTGTCTATGCCCATATGCAGCAAGTCCAGGGGATTCTTTTTGGAGATGCCCTTCACAAACCAAGGCCACAGGATAGCCAGAGAACCCTCACTGCTGGCTAGTTAGGAGTCTAACTTGAATAAATACACTGTGATATGGCTCTCTAAATACACCCCTCCTCTGTGTATATCTTAGAAATGTAGGACTTTGTACCTTAGTCTAGAGATCCATTTGTCTGGCCGCTCCTTCACAGATTTATTGTTCACTGTCTAAAAGTACAAAAAGATAAAGCTTTAGTAATTTCTTTTGTGAAGATTCCCAAGTCCATGTAGATTCAATGAGACGTATGTGTTTTTCTCTTATATTACTTGGGATCCTAGAACTAATGGCCCCAGATGAGAATTGTCACTTGGTACCCTGTGTGTGTGTCTCACTCTGGCTGACTAGAACAGGGCTCAGCCCACCCCTAACTCCCACAGTAGAGGGCTGCTGCAGCTGAGATCCTGGGCCTCAGACAAAAGGCTGACAAAGGATGAGGCCACTGCTGGGTCTTTCTTCATTGCCTCCTGTGAGAAGTGCAGACAGAGGAAAAGATCAGCTTGTAGCTGTCTTTCTAAGCCCACTGTGCGCACTGGCCTGCAGGCTGGCAAGTTCACGGTTCCTGTTACATCAGCATTTGTTTAGACAAAAATTTGCTGTGGATCCCTGAAACAAAACAGAACAAAGAACAACAAAAAGTTGAGACCACCCCCCCTCTTGTGTTACATCCTAAGAGTTTGGTTTTATGAGCAAAGAAAACACCCTCTCCAAATTCTGCTTTCTGAGTGCACAAGTGTTCACCTGGATCTCGGCAGACAGCTGAGAGTCTGGGAGGCCTGGCGAACTGAGCAAGGCTCGGTGTCCTGCCATGCCAAACTTAAGGAGGCTATGCCAAAGAGTTTTCTCATCCTCTGTTGTCTGGCCATTTCTGGCAAACTCTCTTCACTGTATCACCTCCCCAGGGTCACAGGTGAACAGGTCTGTGGCTGGAAGCTACTGTATTTTTGTAGGGGATTGAAGGTACCACGCATACAGGCAAATGCCACCTGTAATCTCCTGTGGCAACAAAGGTCTTTTATTGTTTCAGTCAGTCCTCAAGAGTGAATTTTGTATCCTAGCTGTGACACTCTGTACCTTCTTTGGAACTAGCTCTGGCCGACTAATCAGTTCCTGCGGAAACAGCCCTGTTTACAGCCCATTTCTGCTAGCTTTATCTTGGATTCTGATACACGTTGGCAATTTTTCTTTGTATTTAGTGATTGCTCCTAACACACTGCAAATGTAATGAAAATTTATCAGCAAAATATTGGGCAGTATGATACAGAGAGGTGGCTCTTTGTCTGCCCTTTGCTCTGAGAAGTGGAGAGGCAAGGATCTCTGGGTACTTTTCTCAAACAAATCTTACCATGGTTTAAAAATGTTTTTAAAAACAGGCCATAAATGCCTCCTTAGTATGGGAGAACATTTCTGTCTCATAAAAATGTATCATAAACCCCTTTCTCAATGAATTCCCTTGGGCTCAAGAGAGAGAGAGAAAAAAATGTTTTGACTATTTTAAATTGTTTGGGTGGCTCTTGAATTTGGGGTATGATCTTCTCCCAGCATCCCTCAGTCCCTACCTGTGATTGGTACACTCTGACCTCTGCCCTGAACTT